CTCCTTGTGAAACGGTTCGTCCAGGGAAGTAATGCCACCTTACCTATTTCGGCCGCCAAGCAGCAATATGAGCATTACTGCGTTCCGGTTTAGAAGGGTAAGGGAGCTGGTGACTTTACAGGCACGTGGGACTTGTTAATTTATGTCTTAAGGTGATGGGCGCAGTGGCAGTGCCACGCAGACCTTTGAGATTTAAAGGTATGAGTGGCACTGCAATAGCTAAGAACAAGCGAGTTGTTCGTCCCGACATTTGGTATCATAAAAAAATGTGCTACTTTTGTGCATTACTTTGGTGAACAATGACTTTGAATAGTTATTTAAAAATACACACACGTTACGTTTGAATGTGATACAGCGACGAGATGTGATGACTGATGTGAGTATAATATCATTGGATATGACAGTCGAATGTGTAACGTGCACGTGACGTTGAACACGCTTTCTCGCGCGTAATTAGTATGCAAGTTGGATCTTTTAACGTGAATGCAAAAGATTTTTCGACGTTTTTCAATAATAATGGGATCACGCATGCCTTTTAAACGTATTTTATATGTGTGTATCAGCATTTATTCATTATGTACGTGGGTACGGAACGTAAGTGTGATGCGTGAAAGGGAACGGAGCGTGAGAAAAAAGAACAGCAGCAGAGAGAGAGGGCAGATAGAAAAACAGCGATGAGAATAGGACGCGTGCAAAAGTTGTTAAGTTGTATTTTTAAATTTAATAAAAGGCGAGTTTATTGTAATGAAACTGCAGTTTATTTAGAAGTACCACAACTACCTATCTACATATAGACATAATATACATCACATCCTTTTCCCATCGATATGTAAGTAGAGACCATATTCATCTACTTACTACAATCCAGACACACATCGTTCACCTCAACGCTCATCAATACTTTCACAAGCTTTCGCCAGTTAAGACCTGGTCTTTCTTTAGGAGGTCCTTAATTCGACACTGGTAAGTTCGACTTGGTCGGCCCTTTGCAACTTGCCCGCTTACACTCGCTTCATAAATTTATGTCGTAAATCTATACGGCATTTCCAACCAGGAACCAAATATCCTCTGAGTTGTTAAAAATTTTGTGGGAAGAAAAGCCTTTATGGGATCAGTTTGCCTTGTATATCTAACATACAGAAAACGCAGTTAATTTTTTAACAAAAGTTACAATTTCTTATCTCTCAGAGAATAGCAAAAACAACGAAACAAAACCTTCTGTTGCAGATATACATATTTCAAAGTGTTAGCAAATAAATCACACAAGAAAGCAGTGCATTAGAAAGAGTATAACAAGCGGTCTATATTTGTGGAATTTATTAGTCTCCTCTATCTTTACGCCTTTTGTGGTGACATCAGGTGATTACTAAGTATCATAAATATTATTTTATATATTGCCATATAGAAACCTTTTATACCAGTGCCTCTACTAGACTTGTGTCTATATCGATAGATGTCTATAGGAACCTTGGATAAATATTTCACAATTTTGTACGGCAAATTGTTCAACGTACCCTAGCGTTGGCAAGAAGATGTAACATTTATTAGTGCTCATGGTACCGGCTCAAAAATCCCACATCCCATTTCAGGGACCAAAGTAATTTGGTAAATGCTTAACTCCGGCCCTTTCCGTCGGCCAATATTTACGACAGGGCATGATCTACAAAACTAATCGCTTCGCATTAATTAGTAAATATCGTTGTTTAGATACAATTAAACTTCCACGAGTAACACTGTACTAAGGTACTCAAGATTCTTAAGAAAATCAGCAACAACACGTATCACAAGAGTTGCGACAGTCTTCATTAAAAAATACAATACCATTGCCGTTATGCGTTTCGGCTTTTGTGCAACGTCTTGGTCGCAGTACATGCGTGTAGTAAGCAGTAATACAACTCAGCTTATTTTTTATTAACAAATGTGCTAGACAAATTTGTTTTTGTAGTATAAGCACCACAATACGAAGCGCGTACGTGACGTTAGATGAAATCGATTATCGAGGAAAAGGCAATTTTCAAAAAATACATTATTAGACAAACTCACGCGCAATAAAATCGAAACTAACAGAATATGAAATTATTTTTTTTTCTTTCGTACTTATGTAAAATGTCGTTGGTACATTTATAAAGGCTTTAATACATTTCAGGTTCTAGCTGTATTACAATTGATTATACAAGTAAAAGTTTGAAGTTGATCCTATACTATTGGCTCCATTTATTATCCAAATATGTAATTTAAAATATGAATGCTTGTTGACAATCATACCTCCATGATTGTCAACTACCTATGTGTATTATAATACAAATATTTTTTTATTAGAGGCATAACTAATACAGAAGTTAACAAAAGGCAACAAAACAGTTAATGGTGCTGGCTTGACAAAATTGACAACAGAACATTTTTCCAACAAGCCCTTAGTAATATTTCACATTGTAGATGCATGTTTTGTCATCATATTCATATATTTTTTAACTTGCAGTTGTTGAAGAAAAAAAAAAAAAATTAAATTGAGTTTTGAAAGGCCCGCTCAGGAAATTGTTGTCTGTTAGACGTACTTCATGAACAAAAACTGATATTATGTTGGATGAATTAATTGGTGTCAAGTTTTTTTTGTTTAATGGCTTTGGGTGCGTGCTATTAAGAGATTTTTTACTCATTATTCGAAGTTATTGTTCAATATTTTTTTAATGTAAATATATCTCTCACATTTACTTTTCCATAAACAGTATTTTCTAATATAATTTATACTTTACTAGGTGGTTAAATTATATTATGTACAAAATAACTGAAAACACACAAATACAAATAAGTTTAGAATTGGTTTTTCTCATCACTAGTTGTGACGATAGACAGAACAAACAACATTAAATAAAAGAAATAGATATGTTATAGATTTGATGTAGATTCTATTTCAGTCATAAAAAATATATGTGAAAAAAGTTGCCATTGTTAATTGCAATCCTATTGTAGTTCATTCTTGTTCTAGTTGAAGTACTTTTAACCATGAATGTACTTCGATAACGGTGTCCGCGACATTTCACGATCGGCGTCGGCCGTGATTTCCAATCTTTGGCCTTTGGGAGAAGTGGTCATATTCAGTCATTTTCTAAAGCAACATAATCACACTAAAGTTTATAAAGTTCATGGCAACAACCATGATATATAATCGTGTCTATATATGTATTTAAATTTTTAATACTAAGTTAATATGTTTTGTTAATCTCTTAGCATTTAGATAGACCTTGAAATTTTAATGAGCAAAATAGAATGTATTTTAAGGACAATCAATTGGTTAAGTATTTCTTAACCAAGAAAATGATGCATCAGATAATTTAGGTTTTAGGTCAAAGAGACCCACAACAAAGCTTTGTTCAGCTTTTGATAACGGGACTTAAAGACTATTTTCTTCGTGACATTTTAGTCTAACTGTAGAATAGAATAAAATATGTATATTCGCTAGAATACAGTAATTACATAGGTCTTAAGTAAAATTAGATACATTGCATTCAACCTGCAAGCAGATATGCAAATATTAATGGGATTTAACGTTTAGTTTCTGTAGTTTCAAATTAATGTAATAAATTTGTAAATTCTAAGTATTCTTTATTACTATAGAAGCAATGTGTCAAAAGCCATTTTGTCAAATGTAATTTACAAGTGTATCCTTGTAACAATTTAATTTAGTTTGGTAATTTATTGTAAATAATTACACATGTTGGTACATGTAGTGTAGACAGCAAATTTTTCTTCACAAAGGAAATACTTCCTTATAGTTTGTAACACACACCTAGCACTGACAGATTTGTGCAAAAGTTTTATAAACATAAACGTCTTATATTGCATCCTGTATATTAAGTAAATAAAAGTAAAAGTGGTCTTTGAAAGATAGAACTGTCACTACACATTCTTGTCATATATTATTAAAAGTAAGTGTATAATAATACAATAACATTGTGCTATTATTTTTAAAATTTCAATATGAATTTAAAAAAGGAAAGAATTACATAAATACAAAACAATACTGAAAATATGAGTGGAACAATATTATTTTGTAATGCTTGGATTGATTAGTTCTGGTCTTGAAAATCAAATAAACAGCCGTGAATATGAAACACTATGATTACTTCACTGCAAATACATTGATATTTTCAAAATAAGTAAGAGAGAGAAGCAAATGTCAGTTTTTACTTGATTGTTCACACCTTGACTTCTCCCTCTACTGGGTATATGCCGTACATATCTTCCAATGGGGGATCTTACACAAGTGTCACCTATCCACGGCCTGCGACTTTAACAATGTTGTCTACCCATAACATTCTTTACTTATATAACCTAATTAAGTTATTTTTAATGACAGAACCAACTTATACAGCAATAACTACTTATTTTTTTTAATATTTAAAGCTTATTATTATTTTATTAAATACTAGAAAAAGAGTTATAAAGAAAAACATTGTATTTAAATTTAAATTTTGTGTTTGAATAAATTTTGTAAATAAGGATTGTTTAACTTTTTGAATCACTGTTCTTTGGCGATTATACTATCGAATATTTGAAGAAATAAAAATAATTTTGTTGTTTGGATTATTTTAAACTCAAGAGTATGGAAAACAAACACAGTTATATTCCATAATACTTATTCTATTACTCTTCTTGTACCTAGCGGACTTGTCATCAGTTAAATTATTAATTAAAACAGGCAAAGGTATGTTACGGCACTTAAGAATCACAGAAAGCAATCAACCTTATCAAAAATAACATACAACGATATTTCGACTAACTCATTCCACCATCCACGTAAACAAATCGAAAATAAGATTCCAATAAGAATTGCAAAGGATTATTTCTAAAAATAAGCAGTGTCATATGTTTACGACGCATGACATCGCGGTAGCGGGTTGAAATCAACACCACAAGCTAAAATTAACAGCAACACGATCGAAAGTACGTGCCACCACCCAGCAAGTAACAAGAAAATAAAAAAGTTATAACAAACTCACACGTCGCAAGTGAGCGTTTAGTTTCACTGTAGAAACACGTAGAGAGCACCCAACCGACACACCGTACTTCGGCGGGAACCAGTACTTTTCCACTAGTGTTTCTACACCCGGAGACCACTCTAACTTATCAAGGACCTTCCTCACCTCTCGAAGTCAGGTTTCTGACAGTATGACCCCACTATCATGCTGAAAGAAGCACACGAAAGCGGACAAAGGGTCCTTCAAAACACAGCCATTTTGAAACAGTTCGAACGAAATGTTACGTGTATCGCGAGTATACAGTGTTTTATGCACCGAAAGTAGGAAACTTTGCTAACCGTTCGCACTCATTTTGGATTCTTAACACAATAAAAAATATCACTAAACATTTCACACACTTTTCTGTACGATTTCACTTCATACTTTCGCACACACCCGTTTACGTCGCACAAAGTCCGTCGAACGGCAGCGACGAACTCACTGACACGAATGGAGTAACGAATGGTGTGATTGGTCGAAAACGCAAACGTCGATATTGCCATAATAATACCTACGTTTCTTACCAACCACGATTTGACGTTTTGCCATTATTATTGGTGAAATAATAACATTTTCGTAGTTCCCTTCCTTTTAAATGATAAACCAATAAATATTTGTGTTACAGTAAAAACAAACTGTAATTTAAATCTACAATTTAATTTTGCAATTAAATGTATCATGAAGGTCGAAGATGATTAAAAAAAATGAACGAATCAAGTTCGGTTCTGTAATCGCGACCAATATTCAGACGAAAGTCGGTAGAATATTTATTGACTGCAATCACTAGCTACTCGCAAGCGGGAAACAATTTTGTCGTTTTACTCCGTCTTCAAAAAAGACAGACTAAAGGACTATCCACACACATCAGGGCCGTGCCCGGGATATGCTAGTTTGTATGAACTGCGGGCCCGTCGCGGCGCCGACCCGGACACGGCCATGTGTGAATGAGTTCAAACAAAATATACGCAACGATATTTTTTGAGCCCCTGACGGAGCACGGCCCGTCCACGTCCCGGATATCTGTAGATAGACGATAAGACAAATTGAACCGCCCACGCGCTCTACCCAAAGAACTTCCAATTAGTAGAAAGAGTAATTAATTTAGCAACACAAGTTTTTAGCATAGACAAGTTTGGGTATTTTATCAGACATAGTTTTTTGATATTTTAATTTTTATGTAAAAGTGCAATTAATTTTTTTTTCTGGTATTATACAAACATTTTAAAATATTTCCATTATTAACAATTATTATTATAAAATCCGCTTTACCCAGAAACTTCAATTAAAAGTGAACGATAAAAATCACAATCGCTTATTAAAGCGCTACTAAAAAAACATCTTCACTTCCCATTGTTAATGGTCACCTGCGCGCGTTTTTCAACCTGGTTGCTAGGCGACATGATAATAATCGGATCAGCAAAGTAGATGCACACAGTATTATTTCAACAATTTTGGAAGTTGGTTGACTGCACAATGAATAACGTACATCGAATCGTGTACCCGGGCACAAATAGTCTTTCCTAGAGTGTACTAAACGAAATTTTGATAGTATTTATTAACAATACTTGAAAAAATGAATTTAAAATTTATTAAGTGTTATCGGTTCATGAATTCAAAGTGCATTATATTTTTTTCTACAAACTTTTCAGAGATTTAAAGTGTTATTTTAGGAAAATCCATCGTCATGTTAAGTAAACGTATAGTTTTAAGTTTATTACATTGTTTTATTTCTTCCGTTGCTGGCGATTATGTTGATGTGGAAAAAAGTAAGTACTTTCTTATGTTTGCAACATAACATTTATATAAAAACGATTTATTTTAATTAAATTACATTTTTACGGCGGGAGATCTTGGACGTTACGACCAAGAGTTGTTGTGTCTCGAAAATAATATATAATATAAGAACCAGTAAACATTATTCAGTATTAAGATTTAGATGCTAACACAGAATAAATTACTCAACAAATAAAAAGCTTGTTAGACTACCAGATTTCAAGGGACCCTAAATTCAAATTAAGAAGGTGTAATAGAACTTTGAGAGCAAGTCCCGAATTTGGGCGATTTATTTATAAGTAAATCAGAGCGGGGCGTTAAATTAGGGGCCACGCCCACCCTTAAGTAGGGCCCTGGAAATCGGGTAGTATTAAGCATTACATTAGGGCGCCTAGAAGAATGTTACCATTTTAGAAAATATATTTTTGAAGAGGTTCGGACACTACTACTTTAAATGGTGTTGTCTGCTGAAATACCTGCGCATCCTAATTAATTTGGCTAAAAATTTTTCTTCTCATTGTGTCGATGCTTCTTTTATTCTATTAGACTATATTGACTTTAAATGGTATGTTGCCACCTTGACTGCGTTATTCTATACCGCCACGCGACCTACCTGAGTGCGAAGTCGATTCAGGGAATTTTTAAACATAATACCAAGTGTCCGGACGAACAAGTTGTGTTCTACAACAGTTGCAACGCACTCAAAGTTTTAAATCGCAAAGATCTGAGGGGCCACTGCTCCCTACCGTAGCCGTTTCGCTTACCACCAGGCGCACGACTTGTTCGTCCGTTTCTTAATATTATTAAAAGTCCTTGAATCGACTTCGCACTCAGGTAGGTCGCTGCGGAGACGAAATGTGTAATGGGTGTTCAGGGATTCTAGTCTAACTTAATGTGCCTGCGGTATAAAAGAAAAGAAGCATTACAAGCAATAAAAGAAGCGACACATTAAGAAGAAAAATGTTTAGTCAAACGTATAACTATTTAACTAACTATTTTTAATTTATATTAATTAAAATGTGCAGGTATTTCAGCAGACAACAACATCTTAAAGTAGTAGCTTCCGAACCTCTTCAAAAATATATTTTCTAAACTGGCAATGTTCTTCCAAGCACTTCCTTTTAAACCCTTAAACACTACCCAATTTTCAAGGGCCCTACTTTAAGGGTAGTCGTGGCACCTAGTTAGGGGATAATTTCAAAAAGATTTTTCTGACGATATTCAATAGCAACTGTTCACCAATTCGTTGGAAGATGCCTTCAAGTTACTGAACTGGAATGGACTCGGCATCAACATTAATAGCAAGTACATCCCTCACCTACGATTTGCTGACGATATCGTGGTTAATGCAGAATCGTTGGAAGAACTTGGCACCATGGTCGGTGACCTTAATATAGTTTCCCGGCAGGTGCGTCTAAAAATGAACTTTGACAAAACGAAACTTATGTCGAATGTCCATGTCGTACCCACTCCTATAACAGTGGGAATCTCTACTCTCGAAGTTGTTGACAAGTATGTCTACCTCGGACAAACAATCCAATTAGACAGGGCCAACTTCGAGAAAGAGGTCAATCGTCGACTCCGACTCGGTTCGGCCGCTTTCGGGAAGCTCCAGGACGTCTTATCGTCCGCAATACCGCACTCCCTAAAGACAAGTCTTCGAGCAGTGCGTGTTGTCAGCGATGACCTACGGCTCTGAGATGTTGTCACTTACTATAGGTCTCATAAAAAAAGCTCAAAATCACTCAACGAGCTATGGAGCGAGCAATGCTCGGCATTCCCCTACGTCATCGACTCAGAAATGAGGAGATCCGTCGAAGAACGAAAGTCACCGACATACCTCGAAGTATTGGCAAGTTGAAGTGGCAGTGGGCAGGGCACATAGTTCGTAGAACTGACGGCCGTTGGGGCAGAAAGGTTCTTGAATGGAGACCACGAATCGGAAAGCGTTCAGTGGGACGGCCCCCTACTAGACAGACGGATGACCTGATAAGAGCGGCGGGTAATCGGTGGATGCACGTCGCGTCTAATCGGCTGGTCTAGAAGTCTTTGGGGAGACCTATGTTCAGCAGTGGACATCTTCCGGCTGATATGATGATAATGATTCAATAGCAGGTTCAATAAAAAACCTACCTAATTATAGTGTATTCCAATAGAATTGTTTGTTTACGTCCACTCTCTATTCTATTGGAATAGACTATAGTCAATATGTTGTTATGTCAAACAATAATAAAAAAAAATTCATTGATAATTTAAACGAATAATAGATAAGCCATTTGGCACTTTTTTCAATCAACAAGTTATTGAATATCGCCCGAATAATCTTATGGAAATTATTCCGTGTGCAGCGCGACATAACTGTTACGTAAACTGTCACTCCTCGCGCATCGCGAAGCTACTTCAGGAACCGACTCAGTTAAGCGGTAGGCATTGTAGTAAATATTTTTTTTAAACTTAAATAGAAAAGTTAAAAATGTTCACATTATACCTAATTTGTTTTATGTAGTTCGTATTATTTTTATGTTATAAAATATAAAAGCAATTTTGAAATATGATACATGTAACTTTATTATATCAAGGGTAGGTACGACATATATTTTATAGATTAAGGTGTCCTGTGAACAACAACATCAATTATCATACTCAATCAAAGCAACGGTCATCCCGTTCTCATCACATGACATGACGTCACGGTCGGGTGGTCTTCAACATCACCAACATCCGCTAACACAATGTGCGACAAAGGATACCCACCACGCTAGAAATCACCAAATTATGTTTGCTGGTGGACAAAATATAAACATAAAAAAACCATTGAAATTTGGACTGTGACAAATTGGTTTTACATGCCTAGAAATTGAAATTATTTTCATTATAACTGGAAGCAGGGTCTACATTATACGTACTTTAATTCCCACGCTTGATTATGTTGACTTTCTCACTGGAAACACAATGAAACAGAAAGATTCTTTGGGAATTCGAAATATAAACTACAAAACTATAATATAGGATGTCTAAACTTTGATGTTTTCATAATCTGGTAATTTTAATTATTTCCATGAAATAGATTTGTTGACAATGTTGCTACGAGCTGCACGAATAAATTGGTTTCACTGAACACGCCCGCGTGAAACCGCGCTATTATATGCCTTTTTGTATCTACCTACTGTTTAACATACAGTGGAATACGTATGTAGTTCGTACAATACATTAGTGAGTTTTTATTGTACCGAAAACCTGGTTAATGACAGGATGTGTCAGCACATTGACCTATTTTAAATTTCTCGTTTATTTTCCGATTGTATCCAATCGATGGTATACTTACAAGGAAATGGTTCGTATGTCAGGAATAGAAAGAAAATACAATCGTATTTTCTTTATTGACTCGGTATAGTATGTGCAATTCTCGATTAATATTCTACTATGTGCTGTTAATTTCTAAAATTCTTTACATTTAATTGAAAAAGTATGATATGTAGACTGTCCGTGTCCGTAGCTACATGTTGACCCGTAGTTTCGTATGATTCCGTTAAAATTACACCCTTACCTATTTCTACTGCCAAGCAGAAATATAAGCATTACTGCGTTTCTGTGTTGAAATTACAGGCACATGAGACTTGTGAACTTAAGCCTCAAATCATTGTGATTTAAAGCTCTG